TAGTAGCGATGGCCTCCAACCTACTATAGCGATGGCCTCCACCCTAGCAGCGATGGCCAAGAACTCCACTCCACCCTAGTAGTGATGGCCTCCAACCTACTAGCGATGGCCTCACCCTAGTAGGGATGGCCTTGAACCTACTAGCGATGGCCTCCAACCTACGAAATTGGCCTCCATGGGCTCCAACCTACTATATAGCGATGGCCTCCACCCTAGTAGCGATGGCCTCCAGCCTACCATAACGATGGCCTCCACCCTAGTAGCGATGGCCTCCACCCGCAACCTACTAGCGATGGCCTCCACCCTAATAGTAGGGATGGCCTCCAACCATCCACCCTAGTAGGGATGGAACCTACTAGCGGTGGCCTCCACTCTAGCAGCGATGGCCTCCAACCCCAGTAGCGATGGCCTCCAACCTACAGGATGCCTTCGTCTCTAGCGACTCTGCGGAGTCGGTCACGGAAGGGATCGATGTCCTGGCAGTCCCGGTCAGCAAGATCTCCGACAAGGCACTGAATTAGGGAGAAAGATCAACAGGCGATAACAAGAGGCCAAGGAACACTAATCACTAAACAGTTTTTTCCCCAAACACTTACTGTAGGAGGAAGGCAGCTGATGCTTAGATCGCTGAAGCGCGCGGCCGTGACCAGCTAATTCGCTGCTATTTACAGTGCATTCATGCCTCTCGACATCGTCAATGTGCATTTCGACTGCGCAGGCTCGCAAAGTCTGGGCGCCCACGGCGGGTGCTTCTAACGACTGCGCTCTCGTTGTGGCGCCGTGCGCATTTCCGCACATGATGGCACTTTTCGTGGCAGGTGCAAGGGAAACCTCGTGTTTTCGGGCTTCGAAGTCTGCAAGGGATCGGAGCTGTTCTATTTTGAAATGCAGTTTTCGTGGCAGGTGTAGCGCTTTGGACATGGTGGTGATCGTCGAGGAGATCAGATTTCGTGACAGACGGGTGCAGCGAATCGTGACTTTTGGACATGTGGCTCGTTTGCAAATTTCGTGGCTGGCACAGCACTTTGTGAACCTCGACGTGCAGATTTCGTGACAGGCGCAGCACGTTGTGAACCTCGACGCGCAGATTTCGTGGCAGGTACAGCGCTCACTCACTCACTCACTCACTCACTCACTCACTCACCCACCACCGCCACCGTCACCACGATCCCCACCTTCATCACCACCATCACCTCTCTGGACCCCATTGCGTCTAGATCTCTAGACTTTCTGCTTATAGACCTCACACACACTGTTTGGGGTCTCTTGCCGGGATAATTGTTTTTTTCTTGGTTGCCACTGTAGGGTTCTCAATCTCTTGTGGATTGCCTTGGGTGCTAGCGACAGTGTCCAGTGTCAAGGCTACGGCCATATACATGGTTCTATTGGGCCGTTTGGCTTCCAACAATGTCGTATGTGATCAGCTGAACTGTTTCTTGAGCTGATTCTTTCCAGCAAAAGAAGTTGCATTTTATGACACATTTACAAACATTTTGCACGAGCAAAAACATATATGAATGTGATTTCTTTAAGATTCAGATGCCTTTGGAGGGGTTTGGTGAGCAAGACGAACACTTGCTGGTAATGGACTGCGAGGGCGGCAACAATGCCATGGTGGCTCAGCCTCATAGCCGATTGATCTTGCCGGTTTCCACTCAAGACCAACCCCCGTAGTAGCGTCCTTGCTCCTAGTAGTAAGGCCAGGAGCCCCGTAGTAGCGTCCTTGCTTAGAATGCTCAGTGTTTGTCCCCATTTTCCATCCCAAATGAACCCGACGCATCGAAGTTTGAGGCTGCGATCCGAACCTTGGTGAATGTCTTCGGCTTGTTGCTTGGGAGCCAGGCAAGTGAATCCATTTTTTTTCGGATTTCAGTTAGGTTGGAGGCCATCGCTACTAGCGTGGAGGCTATCGCTCTTAGGTTGGAGGTCGGCAAACAGTGTTTTATTGTAATTCTCCTGCAAACTCGGAACATGTGGTGCTGGTGAATGTAGGTGGTTTTTGTGGCAAACGGCATGGCTACCGAGCAGGTGCGACATTTGCTTTGTTGACGGAAAAGTGAGCTTCGCTTCCAACTGCCCCAACAGTTGGGGCCCAACTTGCCCACGAAGAAGTTGAGCAAAAGATTGTGTAGTTTCAGGCATTGCAGACACTGGGCATGTCATTGGCTGCGCGCTCTCTGGTGCGGTTGGAAGAAGGCACACAACTGCCCACCCAGGACTCTGTGTTGGTTTCAACGTGGGAGACATGATGCATTTTTAACATGACGTGCCTGCGTTTTTGATTGACAGTGATGAGCTCGCCTGACTAAAGCTCAAGAATGCAACCAAACGTCGTTAAGAGTGTATATTGGGGTGGCGGTGAGATGCGTTTTCTCTTTAGTTTAACGTACTGTAACTGTGACTTCTTCTTGCATTACATGGCAAGTTGACCAAGTCCTTGCCCAGGAAGACTTTTAGTCTAGGCAAAGTGTACTTTGACTGCTTGGATCGGAATCAGAGGAGTTGGTGTTTGTGGTCAACAAGAACACTCTTCGCTATGAGGGCTCTGCATTAGAGAAGATATTGGAGCAAAAGTTCGACGACCCAGGTCGCCAGGACGTTATTTCAGCTTTCGCATTGACTGAAAGCGAAGCAGAAAAAGGATGGAATGAATGGATTGGATGTTATAAGTCAACTATGACCAGGAGCTTCGGGACACCGTCAGGGAGTGTTTCCCCTCAAGAAGCTTCTTCACGGCCAGATGCTCCAGCGATGGACAGATTGAACTTCTTTTCTTTCTTCTTCTTCTTCTTTTTCCTTCTTCCTTTGTTATTCTTTGTTATTCTTCTTCTTCTTCTTCTCCTTCTTCTTCTTCTTTTCTTACTTCTTCTTCTAGACACTTTCTGAGGTTCCGTTGATGGGGATGCCCTCCTTCAGCGAAAGTGTGAGGAGCGTGAGAGAACACTTGGTCGAACACCGGACGCAGCTCCAAATGGGTGGCGTTCCAGTACTTGGAAGGCAAAGGGCCCAGAAGGGCTCACATAATCAGCCCATTACCTAGAGCGGTGGCCTCCAACCTACTAGTGATGGCCTCCAACCTAATTACTAGGCCCAGTAATTTACAACATCCTTTACCTTTGAGCTTCACCTAGATTGCCCTTGCAGGCAATTGGCTGGCGTAATGGAGCTCATCGTAGCTGAAGTCCGGAAGTCAGAAGAAATCAGTGTGCCATCAATGAACAGGTTCCAAGACTGCAAGTTTGAAACATCGCTTGTTCATTTCCCCCAAATTCTTTTGCATTCCGCAATCGCGATCCAAGGTATGTCATCTACGAAGGTTGGCTCGTGGGGTTTGTGCTAGACATGGCCAAATGCATTGATGCTTTTTGCAATCCAATCCCACGGCGGTCATTACTTTCTGTCCTCACCTGCAGGATTCTTGCTGCCGTTGACAACAGACTTGACTCAACTTGGTCAAAGCCTAATGTCAGAGCCAACAGACTACGAGCCCAATTTGGCTGAAAGGACGCACGCAAACAAACTAGAACTCGATAGTCCAAGATGTCTATCCTGAAAGCTAAAGAGTTCCTGAAAACTTGCCACGATTAATCCTCAGTTGTGCTTAAGCAGGACGATTCCTAGCTTTCTTTTTGTGTATGCTGGCATCGAGGTGTTTAGATCTGCGTTTTCATGTCCAAAGGAATCCGATCCCGAGTCTCCTTGGACGCTTTGACGAATCCAGTGCGCACATTGGCCACACAGGGCTGAAGATGGAGGCGAGCACGCGGACTCTCCTGGCACGGTGTTCCACCGTTTCCAACAGACAGGAACCGCTTCCTGCCGCGAGGGTTCTTCAGGGGCCGTTCGCTTGCTAAACCAACTATTTCAGTAGTAACTAAGAAGCTACTAGTAGCTCCTGGCCTTACTACTAGGAGCAAGGACGCTACTAGTAACAAAGGGCATCGACAGCCCAAAGTTGCTAGTAGCTTCTTACTTACTAGTAGCGATGCCCTTGTTGACATTCCTTGCAGCAGCTACCTTTCAAGATCTGCGAGGCACGGCAGCTGCTTGAAGTGAAGCTTAGGGATTTATGGCATTGGGTGGAGGTCAAAAACGAGGCACGTGAGAGAATGCTCTTTGATGTTTCTTAACATGCTTTTTGTTTTAGCTTTCAAATCAGTCTTCGAAGAGAGATTGGCTGGCCTTTTTAGTTCCAAGGCATTTGGAAATGAGGTTTGTGATACTGTCCAAGAAGGACGGGAGGTGGAGCTCAGCCGCTCAAAGTCAGTGGTAGGCGTCATGGGGCTGCTCAAAGAGGTCGTAGTTTGGCTGCAGTAAATATCGAACTAAAAGCAGGTTACCATCGCTAGTAGGTTGGACCATCGCTTCTAGGTTGGAGGCCACCGCTAATAGGTTGGAGGCCAAGGCTTCTAGGTTGGAGGCCATCGCTAGTAGGTTGGAGGCCATCTCTATTGGGTTGGAGGCCATGACCAAAAGGTTGGAGCCATCGCAAATAGGTTGGAGGCCATCGCTATTAGGTTGGAGGCCATCGCTAGTAGGTTGGAGGCCATCGCTAGTAGGTTGAAACACTGAAGCAAAAGCATTTTCTTTACAGCCTCGAGGCATACCCATTGTTTGTCCTCATGAACAGAGACCACTTTGTGACTCATGGTACCACTTCCCCTGAAGATTTTAGTTGATGGTTTGCTACGTCACAAACAGAAGTGCAACTTGCCTTGTTCTTGATTGACATCACTTCTGGAGGTTGTGACCAAGCAGCTTTGCCGAGAGGAGGGACGTACAGTTCTCCACAGAAAGAAAGGACGCTTGGATAGCAGCACAAACCATGTTGCACTTTTGGTTCATGTCTTTGGCAATCTTTGTCCCCATTTTGTAGCTCGTTCTACAACTTAGGTCTGAGTGTTTCACAAGTGCATGTTTTGGACCGCATTTCCTACGTTTCATCAGAGTGAGGTGGAGAACCAGAGTGTTTACCGTGGAAATCATTGGGCACCACTGTGACCAGAACGTTGGAGTGGGCCTTCACCGATCTGCCACCAAGTTGCCGTGGCTTTCTGCGAAAAGCAAGTCCCAATGGCTTCAGGTCTATGCTTCGAATGATGCGCTGGGATCAGCAGCCTCGAATTTGTGTGGTACAGGATGGCCACTTTCTTTGGTTTGACGAAGAGGGAGCCTCAAGCAATGGCCAAGCCAAGGGCTGCATCAACTTCCTTATACATAAGGCCTCCATTGAGAAAGATGGACGAAATCCCAGTGGTTTCATTATATCCCCTGCGCAGCCTGAAGGCTGGCAAAATCCAAGCTCCTTCACAGGGAATTCTTTTCGGTCCTTTACCTTTGATGCAAGCGACTCTGAGATTAATTGTGACGCGTGGATTTCAGCAATTGCGGAGAACATTCACTTTGCAAACCTGGCCGCCGAACAACTTGGTCCTGAGCCCCTGGGCAACTATTTTGGCTGTGCCCAAGAGTAAGTTTCCCTCTAGGAACTTAAATGAATAGTGCGAGCGCTTCTTCAAGGAAGCTCCCCCTGCCCTCAGGTGGGGGGAGCTTCCTTGAAGAAGAGTCAGCCATCCTGCGTCCATATTAGTAGCTTAAGCAAGGTGCTAGCTACCTCTCCCTTACTTAATTAAGTAAGCGCCTACTTAGGGGGAGCAGGCTTCAAAAAGAATTGTTTGGGCTCAACGTGTATGCAAGACTTTGACTTAGGTTGTTCAGACAAGTGCGGGTTTACAAGCCAACCTTTGTTGAGCTGGAGACATGATGCCTTCCAGCTTGCAGCTTGCTCTTGCACAGAGGCAAAATCATGCTCTTTTCGTCAGACCGAAGAATACCTGCAGAAGCCAACATGCCACATACACGTGACTTTCGTGTGGAGCTTGCAGATTTGTGTGACATGACATTTTGGCACAAGCGCTTGGAAGCCTCAACTGACTGTCCCAATCGCGACGCACCAAGTACATCAGGATATCAATATTGCAGTCAGCTTTTGTTGGGCAGGAAGGGCCGAATAAAGCGAACGATGAAGGGTCTAAGGGTCTGAAGAAGGACAAGAGAAAGAACATGCACTATCACCCCCATGTCAATTTGTAGAAACTCGCCGTGCTGAGGCTTTGCTGATATTTTTAGACATGGCGTAACAAGCTTGGCTTCAACACAGCAAGCATGCCAGATTTCAGTAGAACACACAAGTCTGAGCCTTCGTTAGGTCCAGGGGAATGCAGGCTTGGAGCTTGGCAGCTAAAGCTCCTAGTAGCGAACATTGTTACTAGTAGTAAGGCCAGGAGCCCCTAGTAGCGTCCTTGCTCCTAGTAGCTTCTTGTTCTCACTCAATTATGACACACAAACTTTTTTGTTGTGAGGCCATCAAGTCTGTGACCAGGACTATGACACCCAAGGTCAAGCCAGCTGTGGATCTGGGCCTGAACACCAGCAGCGCTCTCACTGCAAAGAAGGGGATAAGGACCAGCACGAACAAAATAGCGACACACAGTCAGTAATAGTAGTATCATTCGCAGTCACACATAGCCACTGTCAATGGTCTTTGCTTGTATTTTGGTTGTCAAGTAACTTTCTCTTCTTGACTTGGCTTTGGTGGCCGTCGTGGTCTTCGTGGCTTGGCAAGGTCAAAAAAATGAGAAGGCAGCCATGGCCATCATTGCTCCTGTCAAGGAGATCACTTTGGCTGTTTAGCTGACATGGCCATAACCGTGGCCTTTGTTCGGGGTAGGGCTAGAGAAGCACTTTGAGGGAGGCCGTAAGAGGTCGGGTTGTTCAGGAAGCTTCTCTCCTTGTGAGGCTTCCTTAAAGCACCCTTGGATGATTGGGTTTCGAGATATGCATGGATTTACTGGCATACAAGAACACCACGGACACATCGACTCAGTCGTTGGACATTCACAAACTGCTCTCAGGAGGCTGCCGTCACATTTGAGGGAGGCCAAGGGCTTTAAGGGCAAGACACGATGCAATAGGGACTCAATGCCCCACACACACAAACTAGGAACACATCATCGAGACAATCTTAGTCTTGTGTCAGCTGTGCTATTGGTGACAAGCAATGCCCTAGCTTGATCAAGCAAAGCTTGCAATGACTCAGATTGGTGGATTCACTGCTCGATTTTTTGAGTGGATTCATTTGCTCTAGTTTGTATGCGGCAGTTGGCAGGCAACACCTACGCATGGGGTGTGACTTGGACTGGCAAGTGCGTCCGCATCTTACATGTTGGTAGCTTGCAACAGCATGAAGCCGTAAATTCACCGTGACGTTGTCAATCCAGACAATCTTGGCGCTTGCCAGGACAAATGGGGGAAAGAAGACCCACCCATCATTGACTGGGATGAGGTGAAGAAGGTCCGGTTTAAACAATTCTGTGTTGCAGGATACAGTTTGGACGGCATTCGTTTGAACGATTCCGTTTGTTGCAGCATTTGGTGCAGGCCTTCACGCACATTGGCTGATGAAAGACGCAGAGTTCTTAGTGGTGGCACGTCAGCTGTCTTTCTACGTTGAAACACCACACATTAAAAACACCAAAATTAGATCAAACTCGTATATAAACACATATAGGACGCTACTAGGGGCTCCTGGCCTTACTACTAGGAGCAAGGACGCTACTAGGGGCTCCTGGCATCGCTACTAGGAGCATCCTTACTACTAGTGACAATGATTCCATCCTGAGGCCTCTTCCAAGCTGCCCACCGACGGCCGGGCTGAAGATGTGAAGCAAACAAAGCGTTTTGCTTTGCAAAGCTGTACCATATGCGAAGCACACATGCTAAGAATATGTGTTTTTGTTTCTTTTTTTGAGCAGTAACGATGGCCTCCAACCTACTTGCGATGGCCTCCACCTAATAGCGATGGCCTCCAACCTAAGAGCGATGGCCTCCAACCTAATAGCAATGGCCTCCATCCCAATAGCGATGGCCTCCAACCTACTTGCGATGGCCTTCAACCTAATAGCGATGGCCTCCAACCTAAGGGCGATAGCCTCCAACCTAATAGCAACGGCCTCCACCTAATAGCGATGGCATTCAACCTAATAGCGATGGCCTTCAACCTAAGAGGGATGGCCTCCAACCTAAGAGCGATGGCCTCCAACCTAAGGGCGATGGCCTCCAACCTAATAGCGATGGCCTCCATCCTAATAGCGATGGCCTCCATTCTAATAGCAATGGCCTCCATCCTAATAGCGATGGCCTCCAACCTAATAGCGATGGCCAATAGCGATGGCCTCCAACCTAATAGCGATGGCCTCTAACCTAATAGCGATGGCCTTCAACCTAATAGCGATGGCCTTCAACCTAAGGCCATCGCTCCAACCTAATAGCGATGGCCTCCTTCCTAATAGCGATGGCCTCCATTCTAATAGCAATGGCCTCCAACCTAATAGCGATGGCCTGCAACCTAATAGCGATGGCCATCAACCTAATAGCGATGGCCTCCAACCTAATGGCAATAGCCTCTAACCTAATAGCGATGGCCTTCAACCTAATAGCGATGGCCTCCAACCTAAGAGCGATGGCCTCCAACCTAATAGCAAGGGCCTCCATCCTAATGGCCTTCAACCTAATAGCGATGGCCTTCAACCTAATAGGGATGGCCTCCAACCTAAGAGCGATGGCCTGCAACCTAAGGCCTCCAACCTAATAGCGATGGCCTCCAACTTAATAGCGATGGCCTCCAACCTAAGAGGGATGGCCTCCAACCTAGTAGCGATGGCCTCCATCCTAATAGCGATGGCCTCCAACGTAATAGCGATGGCCTCCAACCTAATAGCAATGGCCTCCAACCTAATAGCGATGGCCTCCAACCTAATAGCAATGGC